TACATACATCGCAAGTGATAGAACGGTTGAAAAGATTAAAAGTGGCCCTTACCAAGCATTTTAAATAAGCCTACTTCACACTATACCCAATACTGCTTATCTCCTTCAATTGTTCATATTCATATGCAACTCTATTAAGGAATGGCAAATAAAATCAGCTCAAACATATGATCAAGTAACAATAAGAGCTAGTTTATAGTGTTCAAATCAACCAAAAACTGGAAATACTATATGGTAAAACATCAAGCATTGCTGCCTATTATACCCTCATTTAGTTATTTAAAAAATAAACACAGATAACTTAAAATAAAAAACAAAAGAAGTGGAAAGGAAATTAAACGTCATAAAGGAAGTTCATTTTCCATATATCATGACAGGAATGATACAGATGTATCACAATATGAATCAATTAGAATTTTTAAGGGTCTTGAACTGAGTCAGTTGTGAAAAATGTTAAAAGATTGCATAACGACTTTCTTGAGCATCATCATGTCTGAGTCATGAAAGGTTAAAATAAATGTATCCATTATCAAATATATAGTATCACTAAAACAGAGGTTATCTCCAGGCATCATGCTGTGAAATTTTGAGAAACTAAAAGTGCGACAGACATTTAAACACCAACACAATAATGCTTCCAAGTTCAACTCAAAAGATGGGAAGATTTATTTCTAATTCTAAAACATTATTAATAAAGGTGAAGATGTTGATCAGTGACAAATAAAAGCAGCCAACGGAGCCAGAATTTTTAAAGACCAAATTATGAAATCTTTACAGTAGAAAAAAGAAAGACAGAGAAAGAAAGACAAAGAACCACGGCTGGTGTGTGAGGCATTGAATAGCTCTGCAACTTAATGAAGATTCAGTGACATGTGGAAGATGTCAGAGTTGGATGGTTTACAAAAGGAGAACATACTTTGTCCATCCGGCAAGCTTCAAGAACATTCAGTGTTGAAGCAGCTCCTTCAGTTGTTAAGTTGCTTGGGTGCATGGCCAGAACACATAATGTGTCAGCTGCAGACTTTCGAGTTACCCAATCTGAACTGCCAAGACACTCATGAATGATTTGCAACAAGAGTTCCAAGCTTTGTGGTGTAACTGCTCCTACCTGCACAATCAAATAAAGTTAAAAAAGGTAAGAGCTTTTCAAAAGGGTTGGAAGAAGGGTCTCCAAAATAAAATAATAATAATAATAAATATAGATATTCCACATAATTGCACAATACATAACTAGTTATCTAGAATCACGAGATTGTCATCATGGAAATAATATGCATAAAGACCAATTTCCCATTTCTCTTTTATATGACATATTTTCCACAGCATCTTGAACTTCAGATGTTCAGTTGTGTTGATTAATCCAATAGCTCAACTCCGAGCTAAGCCAGGCTATCAAAATCCAGGTTGTGGCAGGTACCAGGTCATAAAAACATAGTAATAAAAGATAATCAAAACAATTGGCAATGAACAATACGTATTGCGATTTGCGGGCGAAAATTCAGCAATACAAGAAAAGAAATTCATAATTCATGGAAAGGAAATATATTCCAAACAATTTCAATTTGAAGCATCAACGAGTCTTGCTATAAACAAAATATGAGAAACAAATACTTTTTTTGTTGCTCATTAAATATGTGAATCTACTGTAGTATAATCATTGAAAAGTATACAAAGTAACATAAAACGAAATATGACGCCTAGGATGGCCAAAGTCTCCGGAAAAAGAATTGCATTTGTTCAAAAAAGTTTAATCCATTAGGTACACAACCTCTAGTGATTGCCATCGTGCATATAAATGGAAAATATGACATCACTTCGAACCTTAGAGAAGGATCCTAATGTTGCAACAAATTTATTTTATTGTTAATTTGTTGAAGCATCTAACTTAGCTTTGATCTCCAATCACAATATTTTTAGCAAATTTCTTTAACACAACTTAAGTGTTTCTCCACAACTTTGCAGCAATCAAATCTGGACTATGGAAAACAACAGCACAATGCGTCAGGATTTCAGTTTTGTCATAACAATTTGGTCCCTTCAAATAAATTGTGCAAAGTCAATTAATTCATCAAACATGATTACCTCTTATTGAAACTTAACTGTTTCTTCCACACAATTTTCAACAGATATCAAAGGACTCTCAAACATAAGCAACTACAAATGCCATGACAATGATACAGCAGACACAAACCTGCAATAAACTCGAAACAACTTGCAATAATGAAGCCTTTGCCATGAAATGCTGATTATTAAAGTACTTGCACACCCTCTGGCATAACTTCTGAAATGCAGTCAAGGGCGGGTCGGAGGCGCATTCCACCATCTTAGCCATACACATTGCTGCCCCCCCTTGCGCAGCCTTGTTATTTTCGCTCATCACCTCAAACAACGGCTTGACAAACAGAGATACCACCCCATCGCTCCCTCCTCCACCCTTCAAGTATAGTGCAGAGAGCGAGCCAACTGTATCGCAACAGGCCTCCCTAACCTGGGAATCTGAATCCTTCAGCCTCTTAACAACTTGAGCAATGATTTTGGTCAAATGGGTCGCAGCAGAATCAGTGCGAGCAGTGCAGAGTACAGCAAGGAGTCGAATGCTCTCTTTCTTCACTGCAGGCTTCGGGTCATTCGTGGCATCGTATAGGCAATTGAGTAGCATTGAAACCCCATCATTGGACAGGGCTTGAATAATATTCTCGAGGTCCTCCACAGCGATCTGGTGGGTATCCCGGTCGGCCAATTTCGAAATCGCAGTAAGGATTCTCTGCTTCAATTCAATCATTGCCAAATGAGACGATAAAGAAGACGAAGAAGAAGCAGAAGACGATCTCGGAGGGCCCGACTGGTTGGAAGGATTTGAGGGTTTTGAAGATCTTTGGGAGCTCATTTCTTATGAAATCTTTGGTCAAAAGTCTCGAAACAAATTCAATATAGTTCATATAAAACATTCATGATTTCAATCGCGAGAAAGATGGAATGAATAATCCCAGAAATTAACTAGAAATTTGAAGCATTGAAGAAAAGCAAGATTATTCTGGGTAGAGAGAGAGTAAAGTGAACTGATTACTTACTCTAAATGAAAGCAAAAATCAAAGCTGGATATAAATGGAAGTGAGAGAGATCTGCCCCAGTGAATCGTGAAAGTGAAGATGAACAGAGTTTTATTTAATTTTTTATTTTTGAATTTTGAATTTATTTATAAAAATAATTTATGGTTCTGATTATTTGATTTTATGGACCGGTAAAATTTCAATATTTAAGAGATAAGGTGTGATCCATTTCCAAATTAAGAAATAAAATTTTAAATTTTAAAAATTAGATATTAATTAAATATATGAAGCTCATAATTTCATACAATTAGTCACAAATTATTTCTAAATCACAAATCAAATATTTTATAGATCATAAATTATTTTTGATCACAAATTATAAATTTTATAAGTCACAACTTATTTAAAGATAAAAAATTATCAAATTAATTGGTCACATCATAATAAATTGTGAGTTAGAAGCAATCTCTTCCTTTTTGTCGCTGCGTCGTGTGCAGCTGTGGCTATGGGGTCGGTGGAGGCAGCGGCTGTGGATTTGGGAATTTTTTTGGTGGTTGAGTGTGGTGTTGACGAGGTAGTGCTGACGATGTGGTGGCAACGGTGTTTTTTGGCGATGGTTAGAGAGAGGAGAGAAGGTGGGATAGAGAGACGGGAGAAGGTGGAGTCGTGGAGATGATGAAAATATTAGAGTTTTGGTGTAGGTGGTTGGGTATGGGTTCGTGGGATGAATATATATATTTAATTTTGTAATATAATTATTGACATTTAAAATTTTAATTATTATCTAATTTTTGAAATAAAAACTTGTAATCACTTTTTTCACCTAAAACTAGTCCATCATTTGGGCTCAACGGTAGGCCCAAAACAGGAATTAATCTTTTTTTTTTTATTTGGTCTATTATATTTATAGGAAATTACACTTCACACTCCTTTTAATATTGAGATTCCCATTTTAGTGTACATTGTTTATTCTCAATATATTTTAATTAATTCAAACAAAGAAAAATATCACCACCACCTTCAGACCATAAGTAGAGGTGGCAATCGAGTCGAACGGCTAGTTGGCTCAGCTCGTAAAAAAGTGGCTCGTGAGCTGTTCGGGGCTCGTCTACCTTGGTGATGCTCACCTACCCTATCGACGGTCAAACACTACCTCCACAAATACAATTACGACACTATCGACGGGGCACAACAACAACCACAACCTTAGAAAATCTAATTAAGAAAAAAAAATAAAAAAATATTTTTCCTGAACCCCACCTATCACCCATCACATTGAAACCAACACTAGCAATGGGCACCTCATCAGCTCTCCACCATCCTTTTGCATGTACCAAAATACATTCTAGGTCGCAAAATTCAAATCACAAACATTGAAAAAAACATCAAAAATCAAAGCTAACCTCCATAGATGCAATCATGCCGTCGACGGAAGTGTTGTCGTGAAAAGGAATGGCCTTTCCTTTAGGTTAGGCCTTTACAATCAACCGCCCGAGTAGCAAACCAATTTATTTAATTTTTTGGTGATTTTTAGGAATTTTTCGAGGATCTTTAGGTTTTTATAGGATTTCGCCAAGCGACAAGATAAGGATCACATATTATTTTTGTAGCCTCACCCTACAAGTAGAGGACACTTTATAGAACTTATTCCATCGACGTGGCGCACCCACGAGAGTCGGGAGAACAAGAGAAGTTCACAAGATTTTAACATGCCAAGATTTGATAAATTGCAACTTGATGAACGCGTGTTAATACACATAGTGTTTGCACACATTCAAATTATAATTTTTGGAATTGTATTTTTTTGGAAAATGTGTGGTTGAAAAAGAAGGAAACGTCAAACTTGTAAAAAAATAAAAAGCGAAACATAGAACCAACTAAAGCAAAATTGATGTGTTTTTCATTGTCACTATAAGTGTCTGTCCATACAATTTCCTTTGTGTTTCATTGTCACTCAGTGACCAAATATATCTGCAGATGAGGGGAGGCTGTCTCAAATTGTGTCAACTGTTGTACATTTTGTCTGTATGTCGATTCCATGTCAATGCCGTTAGGGCCTTTTTCCTTCGATAGACTGATCGACAGATACTTTAAACCCGAACCAAATCTTAGCAAATAACCTAAGACGACGAGTTCGTTCATCTCTCCCTTGAATCCCTTCACTTTCACCATCTTTAAGCACATCATACTTCTATATCTTAAGCACTGAAATCGAGTCAAAAATTGATGTTCCTCGAATTTAAAAGGAGGCTCGTATTCCTGAAAACGTTAAACAAGAAACTAATCAATCGTGTAACGATGGAATAGTAGTATCGGATTTTTCTAATAGTTCGTCAAATACTCACCTGAAAAATCGTCCTAGCGCATAAATCGATGGTAAGAATATCCAAGTTGGGACAACTTTTTAGAAAGAATGTAATGCCATAAAATTCATTTATGTGCAACTTTGTCTTCAATATTAGATGCTTAACATTTTCGAGTTCCGGTTTTAGGGTTATCGGGTCGCCCGCAGTCACTATCAGCTTCAAATAATCGACAAGAAAACAAAGAAAATGTGTTAGTTCATAAATTTATCACAAGAATAGTGCAAAAGAAATCAATATTTTTATTAATTAATTACCTGAAGCATATAACTGCAAATGGTAAGAACCCTAACACTAGAAATTTCAGCGAGAAGATTATAGAGCATATCGCCTTCTCCCTCTTCAATATATGCGGTCTGAAGCCCGAAATCAAGAATTGCTTCCACCATTGTCGAATGATATTCAATCTGCAATTGAACAGACGGCCCGGAATATTGAAAGAAACTCAAGAATGGAGCATTCAGAATAATCACTTCAGGCCCCAAGCATTTATCCATGACAAAAACTCTCAATTTTTCTGAATCAATATAAAAATTTTCCATGTTCCAGCATCTCTTCAAGTTCAAAATTTCTAGGGATGTACACGTTGACATCAAGTTATTGAAGCAACTACCAGGAAATTCAATCCATCCCAGATAAACATTCTTCAGAGTAGAAAGTGTGCCGAATTGAAAAACCCTGAAATTGCAAGCAGACAACTTGAGAGATTCAATCCTTGTGAGTGATTCATGAGAAGACAGTTCAAGAAATGTTTCTGGGATTTGCGCAAGATCATCTTCATTCCATGTAGGATCAGAAAAATTAAGATCAAGTTCCTTCACATCTCGATCAACACAAAATCTAATGCAGTCTTGAATTTGAGACAGATGGTGTTCTGAATGTGAAAACGCAAGACGAAAACTATGTAAATCTGTCTCTACACAGTTATCCATCCAGTGTTTAATGTAAGTCACAAAAGCCATCCTCTGCATGGCCTTATTTTCATCGGATTCTCCGTTCTTGACGAAGAATTTCTCGTCAAATTCTATGTTCTTGGCTGCATACCAAATGCTACGCCACCTTCTTGACAACACGGAGGTTCTCACGGCTTCTTTGAATGGCAAAAAAGAGACAATTACGAACAGAAGGGCGTCTGGTAGATAAGAGAAATAGTCATTTTCTCTGGAATCCATGGCGGGCGGTGGCGAAAGATAGATGCAAATGGGGAATGTTTTTATAAGAACTGAAGCTGTGAGATTGAAGCCGATGCGACTGTTCGGAATAAAGATAAGAAAGTAGTTTCCGCGGGTGAGGGTTTTGAAGATGATATGAAAACTTCTCTTTTCTTTTTCTTATCGAAACAAAATATCAAAATTTTCTTCAATCTATGTAAGATGTACCAAGTAGGTCCATTAACTATTATTTTGGCGGCTGCACCCTCTACCTTTCATTTTTGTAAAATTTGAGTCCCCATCTTACGTTTAAGTCAAAGTCAATAATGAGTTTTAATTACATATTTCATGAGATTCATAACATTTTCAATTATAAATTTTATCATTTTTTTATCAAATTTTAATAAAAAAATAATTTTTATTTAAACCAAACAGGAGTTTTAAGGACAATCTTATTCTCATCTTAACCAAACAAAATATTAAGTCCTTATTTGGTATTGATTAAGATCAAGATTTTAATCTAAATCAAAGTCAACAATTACTTTCAACCACATATTTTATAGGCCCGCAACTTTGCAACTGCACATTTCATCAACTTTTATCAAAATTTATTAAAAATATGATTTTTAATCCCCACCAAATAGGTGCTAAGTTAATTATTGACATGTTTGATCATTTGAAGAATCACAAGCTATGACTTAAGTAGTGTTTTATTGTACTTGTTTTGCACATTTTTAGTACTTTAATGGTCCTCGCGTATGTGATGAAGTCTACATCGTCCCAAGTTGTTAGAATGTTCTTTTTCATTCTAATACAATTATCCATAACCATACGAACTTTCTTAAAAAAAATGTCACGCTCCACGTATCACAAGATTTGGAGCGATTTGTGATACAGATCGGTCTAATCGAAGAGGCAATTTGTTGAGTTATCTTTTCATTTATCACATGCTAATTAAGTCTTAAGGGGACACCCACTTTAGTCCACTAACCATAACACCTTTTAAGTCGTAAAATAGTAAACAAGAAATGATTCAACTTAAATATAGTGAAAATAAAATGAAAAAATATAGAATTCATTCAAATTTGGTTAATTGCACCGTGATAAGTGCATTTTGCACGAGCATCATGTGTGATCTATCTTGAGTAGCTAGAACACATCACCGTTGTTTTTATTTTTAGGGAGTGGCATCATCATTGGCCGCTCATCTCATAGGTTATACGACATATCGACTTGTATCAAAATCTACTAAAAATCTCATTTTAATTTACACCAAATAGGGGCTAAGTTATAATCCCCGTCTGTACAGTTCAAAAACCGAGTGTAAGGATCAAAAACAGTCATTTCTCTCCAACCAATACAATCAAGACATTCTGATGCATCAAACTGCTGAAGTTTACAAATCAGTACAATGGTGACTCGGCTAAACATTGGCATAACTCATGGTGGCATGTCCAATAAAACATTCTTGTAATGAAATGAGAGTTGGCTTGGCAAAACAAAACTTTACAGCACTCAACTCTGGCTTCAAAATGTTCAACTGGGTATAGTTAACGAGACTTCTCCAGGCACAAATTGTTTCATACCCAGCTAGGCAAGTAATAGAGACCGATGGAGGCCATCTTGCCGAGCATCATCCAGATGAATTTTCATGTAGTAGCACGTACTCTCGGCTGCAAAACCACAAGGGAACATTCAGGAAAAGATTAACCTAAATTGAAATTGCATTAGTCAATTTTCTAATCAGAAGGAAATTCATTTTGTGAGTTTATATCAATTGGAAAACCCGATTATATATCATAAAGGGTTCAGATTGTCAAAACAAATTGAAAGCGCATATAAAAATAAGAAAAAAATGTCATTAAAAGTCTACAGCAGGTAAAGAGAACAACAAAAAGTCCGAACAATCTGATGATATGGGCCGAAAGCGAAAATGGATGTAGAGCTTTCTCAAAAGATGTATGACGAAGCATATCCCAAAAATTTCTCTGTACAACCAAAAATGTGCACGACTTTTTTCCTCTTGGCTATGCTTTTACAAGAAACGTTTCCCTATAAAAGTTCCTTGGTATTCAAAGAAATCATAGAAATAAGGCCTTGGCCTTAAGTCACAGGTTTAAACAGTAACCAAATAAAAACACGTGATGAACTTCAATAACATATTTTTCCTTGTCCTTTTTCAGCGCCAACTTTCACAGAGAACACCAAGTAGGTGAGCCCCAGAATAATTAAGGAGGGAAAGCAAAAACCCTGTTCCATATACCCAGGTGTAAGTCTATATTTTTTACTATTCACCCAACAAACACAAAAATGATTAAAAACCTCAGATACACCTCTAGCATCACACTTCAAAGAAAAGGTATTCAACGCTGAATTCCTGAGTATCTCATGTCACTCATTCCTTGCAGAGTGTTAATGTCCTTATGATAGAAATCTAATTTTACGTGCAATTCAATCGATAAACCTTCATTCTCTCCTAGTTTTCTACAAACAACTTAATGGGCATTGGCAGAGAGGAAAACAGTTTTCAGTGAAGCTTCCTTAAACTGAACCACTTCAACCACTCATGCATTGAAAGCCTGGACCTTCCAGATAGCAACCTAGATATTCGAAATAGTTTTTATGTCACTTCAATTCCCTAAGCCAGCTTCAGTCTCTACATTCTTGTTCATTACTTATTGGGTGTCACATACATAAAGAAGAACATTACGTAGCAAGTGTGTGTAAATTTTACACAAGAAATCTATAGCAAGAGGATGATCAAATCATTGCCACCAAGTGTAAGATACTATAAGCAAAGTACCATCACACATCTACAAACATGGACATTCCTCAATGAGATTCAAAGATCTGGCAAGCACGTGAAGAGTTATAATTCGTAGCCTACCTACTATTACCAAACTTGATAGTATCTTTTTCAAAAAGCTCATAGTATCGCTGTGGTTCTAATCGATCATCCTGCAAAAAGGGAAAGAAAATATCAAAGAAATCATAAAGAAGCGTGACTAGCACCCCTATGAATTGCATAATTGATGTTCTATGTAAATTGCTTACATTAATAAAAGTCCCATTTGTGCTTCCAAGATCCATCAAATATGGTCTAGTACAATGCACAGGATGTATGAGTTTGGTTAAATATAGTATCATCATCTAAAGGACATCAAACAATCTAAGTAGACAGCCTCAGACTTACCTTACTTGCTTAGACATGGTACCGTCTGGGTTCTCATTTTCCACTTGCCTGCAAAATATGTACTAAACAAATAAATACCTAAAAATAAAAGTGGAAACAATAACTTCAATTATGATTCCCACCGATACTGAAGAACAGCATGTTGTTTGCTGCAAGATGGGTGGTCTGTAGGGATGTCAGCAACTCTCCTCTCTCTCCCGAAAAGATAGCAGCTCAGACGATGTACATAGAGAGGTTCTACAATTTCAGAAGTATCAATGATAATGATTCGCATTAACTCTAAATTCTTTCCTGAAGCTAAAAGGAAAAAGTTGATGAATGTCTGCCAGGTTAAAAGGAACGGAAACTAGTTGTAAACAGAAAATAAAAGGCACAATGGAAATTTACATAAAATAATAACACTTCTGAGGACAACGGAAAATTTAACTGTGTCAAATATTGGGAGAAGAAAGAATGAAGTATATTAAAAAATGGGTCCCAAAAATTCAATCCATTGCATCACAATCAATTATCTACAAGCTGCTATACATGGCGATTGACAACTAAGACAGGGATCACATTGCAGATAGTTGCTAATTCGTATTTGGCATTCAGACTGATATGATATTCATAGCTAATTGTTATGATATTTATAAGATGAGGTAGGAAATTTGGGAACAATATTCAAAACCAATATAAAAAGAAATCTAAGAAAGACAGGATGTCCAAAAACAATGACCAGCGCCAATGACTGAAACCTATACCGACAATAAGGTCATGCTAAAAGTCAACTCTTTCATTGCCATATTTAAACAAATTAGCAATCGGAATACAACCATACAAATGATGGTGGATATACATTTAAAGACATGAGATATGACCAATAAAGATTTACCATTAAGCACTTCACCACCCTTGAAAACGTACAATCGCCACCTTGTATCTGATTTTCGGGCGTCTGGGGGCTCAGTGAACAGCAATGTTATACCTAATGGAAATCGCATTGTATCAGAAACAGTACAAAAAAAAATTAAAAATTAAACTGACGTGGACAAATCCAAGAGTTACACCAGAAGATTTCTTTATCAAGTGCAGATAGCAAAAGTTCATTCCAATCCAAAAGGCCAAGGAGTTCAAACTATAGGCTGATGTCAAAAACAGAACCTATCATCTATGCCCCTGTTTGACACCCATTTTGGAGAAAAAATAAATTCTGGAATAGTGATGGATGGAAGAATGCGTGGCTGAAAAATAATGAGAATTTTTGGGTTTATGTGTAGTATTATTTTATTGATAGAATGTGTTGTTGAAATGAAGAAAGAGAAAAAAAAATGAGAATGAGAAAAAAAATGGGTTTCAAATGGGGGCTATATAAGTTAGCTTCATTTTATCCAATTGCCAACATTATTTTCCTATTCCTTTCCTCTATGCTATTGTTTACAACATCTACTACGGTGGCACATATTAAAGGGGACTGAAAAGAGATGTTCTTTTTCCTCCTCGGTTTACCACGACATAAGAAAAGCATGTGCTGTAATAGACTGATTTCTGTGTAGCTCATCTGGTTCCCATGATAAGCACATAATGATATGTCAAAACGTCTACTGATCATTTTGCTACTCAAGCCTTGTATAAAGCATTCTCTCAAAGCATGAAAACAAGACGACGGAAGTTCAAATAACATTTTCTTTGTCTTGCAATCACATTCATATAGCCAAATAATCAACGTTCTCAAATATATTATAAAATCCATCCACAAATACACCATATATGTGAGTTGCACATACCATTAAGACACAGTTACTTTTAAAATATCACACACGAAGGAGCAAACTTCCATGATTTTCTAGTCGAGCTAATTTGTTTCGTGAATGTGTATAGCAGGGAAAAGGAGAAATAGAAGTTTGTAATAACACAAACGATAGAACAGCAAGATGTGCAAAAGTTTCAAAGAAAGCAAAATATATTCTCTATCCCATCAAACAACTTTCACGTGGAACGAACATTTTGCTTGTTAAGTTAAAACAAAGTGTAGAAATAACCTCTGACTCGATTAGTTTCGTCCGCAAGCTTCCCAGACAACTCAAATGAAGGCTTTTGCTGTAAATAAAAATGCAATTATGAGTTTGATAACTCATACATAAGTGCCAAAGGTAAACGGAAACTAATATATACTCATCACAAAAATGCTCATAAAGACTCTCAATTATCTCAATGTTCCATTGCAGGCAAAAGAGAAGAAGACAATCATAGGGGCAAAATATGTAGAGAAGCAACATATTCAGTAGAAGAAGCAATAGGGGAAATGAAAAGGCCACCTTTTCTTTTGCTTCCAGAGTCTCTTCAGTTGCTTTCATTTTATCGATTGCATCATTGTCACCATTCCTGCTTTAAGCAAAAGATGAAACTCGGTAAAAAGATATTTAAACGTTGAAAACAATATTTAAATGATACGCGTGTGGCCCTTCAGCCTTTAGATCAAGCCGTTCTTCAGAAAACACTGACATACAGCAACAAAGTACATACTGAGCCCCTGTTTGGTTGCCTTAAAATTTAAAAAACATAGTTTTAAATAGTATTTTTTGGATAATGTGTGGTTAAAAAGTAAGGAAAAGTTTTGGGTGTATGTGTAGAATATTTTATTGTGTGAATGTGTGGTTGAAAATGAGTATGAGATATAAATTAAAGTAAAGGGAACCAAATAGGGGCTAAGATAGTGGTGTCCTTGGAACCCCACCCCCAAAAACGAAGGCACAGCAGACGTATTTTGTTTTGTAATATTAAATAAAATAATCCTCTGAGAGCCAAAAAGAAAAAGGAGCAGAACAGAGGAATACAATTTGACATTTACCAAGTCAGAGACGAAATACCCCAAAGGACCTGGGGACAATCTAAAAGAAAACATATGCGCACTCACGCTAACTACCCAATTATCAGAATCTGGCTCTTAGGTATTTGCTATCACAATACAAAATTTTGAACATTGATCAAATAAAAAATAATATATTGCAGTTTTACGGGGCATAAACATGCAGTCTGTTAAGCTGGGGAAAAGATTAACCCCCAGTTAGAAGCAAAGCTTGACTTGAATAGTCAAAGACACCTGAATTAGATGACAATGGGTCAAGTAGGAAATAATGGCAGATAAAAATATCTCTAGAGCAGTTAAATTTGAAAGCATCACGTTCGAGTAGCTCACCGCTGTTTAGCAGCCCTTGACTTTGTTACCTACGGACATTGCAAAATGATCAGATTCTGTTTATTTCTTAAACTACAAGAACAATTTAAAGAGAAACCAGGTGGCATTCCATGTGAGGCTTCTTACAAACACAGCAGGTTGAAATTTATGGCATTCAAGAGGATTTCAATATAAATAAGTCAGTGACGATTTTAAAAGAATAAAAGTACCAAACAAAATTAGTTACAAAGTTAAATAAGAGGCTATTAAGTTGTGAATTTTAGCCCATGATACCATCATCAGAGCTAAAAGAATTATGTTGAAAGTGAGGACAACTACTATTAAATGATGCACGTTAATGGAGTTCTAGAACTTCATGGTTTAAAAAGGCGGTAGTAAGGCTCGCCTTGAGGCGCGTATAGTATGCCTCGAGACGGTATTTTTTAGACTAAAAATATGAGGCTCACGCCTCTAAATCTGAGGCCCACGTCTCATTTAAAATTTGATTTTTTAATTGTATGAAAAGAAATCAGAAAGGGTCATTCTTAAAAAGAAAATAGTCAACTTAAAAAGGCATTTTGGACCCAAACAAAACAATAAAATATCTAGAAAGATGATGGGGAAATTAGATATGATGATGATTCCATTAACGATGCTAGTAATAGTGATGATAGTGCAGACTATTAGGCTTTTTTTTTTTAGTTTAAGTTGCTTCTTTTTTTTCATTGCAAATGTAGTGATTTCTAACTTCTGTAATGCTTTTTTTTTGTTTTTTTGCTAAACATCTTCTTTCTTTAGGTGGACTATATCTCAATATGCTAATAGCTATATATCTTATTTACTATATGCTCCAACTTTGGTTTTTTTGTATTATTTTATAAGTCTTTTACTTAGATTTTTTTTGTGAGGCTTACGCCTCATAAAGAAAAACAGTCTCAGTACTTAGTTTCGCTTTTTTAAACCTTGTAGAACTTCATTAATTTCTCTTCACAAACTAATTGCGCATCACTTATATTACTTGCAAGGAAGCTTGTAGTGCATGTTACTCATATTCCCTTAATCCCACATTCTAATTGTTGGATCGATTTAGCCAATAAAGGAATAGTTCTAATAAAATCCAGATAGAGAAAAATATACTCACATTCAACAAAAAATGCATTGTTAATCTCTAATAAGATCTATGTAGGCAGAGATTTTGTTTTTTTCACGTTCTCAAAGAGGAAAACAATCGTTTTTCATGTTTTTTAAACAATAAAAATGGAAGGCAAGTGTTTGATTGCTTCTTCATCCCATGATAATTAATTAAAGAAAAAAAGTTGTTCTAATCATGAATAATATAGTGGAAAAAAGAAGTCTCTTTGACCATTTCCACGTTGCACCTAGGTTTCCTATAACCAGAAGGGAACCCAAAAACTAGTTCATTAATTTAAAATACAACATAGTTCAGAGATCAAAAAGGAAATTAGAGTACAAATTATTGTCCTTTAGCAGTCTATAATCTATTTTTGACAAAATAAGATTTTGATTCAGAGCACCAGGTAGTTACCAGAATATTTCACATTTCACATCTTCCTGCTCTCATATCAACCAAAAAATAATGATGTCAATATGCATATCTAATTCCTTAAAGACATGAATCAGGTTGAGGGAGTGAATATCACCCGATACCTCATCACGCGCTCTGTTATCAGAAGCTCGAGGTGATCTAGATCTTGGCCGACTCCTGTAGTGATGATCAGACGGAGAAGACGAGCGTTCAGGTCTCAATCTGGAAGACTCATTGTCCACTGCATCCCTTTCTGACCTATCTCTTCTCTCAATTGGCGGATTCATGTTTGAATCTCTTTCTCTATGTGTCGCCTCGTTACCCTTCCTAACAAAATTTTTCTCATGGTTCCTCACACTTCCTTTTTCATCATCTCGTTCAGCTTGAGCTCTCTTTAACCTTTTAGTCCGTGGTGAAGGCGAACGGGATTCAGGAGACTTTGACTGGGCACGTTTGGGCGACCTGGCTCGATTAGATGGTTTTCCCAACTCTGGCAATCGAGACAAAGGAGACCTCGACTTGGCACGTTTAGGGGATCTGATTCGATTTTTCTCTCTGGTGGGCAAAAGAGGTGGAGGAGACTTTGAGTTTGCACGTTTTGGGGACCTAGTCCGGTTTGAGGGCTTTTGTCTGATTGCTACAGGAGATACCGATTTCCTGCGTTGTGGAGATCTAGTGTGACTAGAGGGTTTCTCTCTAACCTGTGAATAAGGTATAGGGGACTTTGACCTAGCACGTTTTGGTGATCTCTTGCGAGTTGAAGGCTGCTCCGCATTCCTGTGCCGAGCAGGAGACCTTTCACTTCGAGAGGGGCTCCTCCTACGAGGAGACCTTCGGTCCCTAACTGGGGATTCAGCGCCCCTGCGACCCATGCCTTTATTTATCTAAACAAATAAAAAACAACCATATCAGAAACAACTGGAAAAGAAAGAAGAAAAAGCATCAATAAAGTTTCTGCAACATGGCTTAAATAAACTATTATTCATTTTCTAACAAAAAAATTACTACTAAAAAGGAACGAAAGTAGATTAACTATATATCCAGCTTTGAGCTAACTAGGTGGCAATAAACTCTCAAAACAAAATATCTGGGGCGCTAGAATGGGATTAAAACATAACGCCACTCAAATTCAATTAATGTAATGACTTCTAATTCTGAGGACATAATTCCATAAACAAACACAGAAAGAGAATTTTTCTTTATACTTCTTGTTAAGTCCCGAATGTTAAAAAAAAAACTTCATAAAATTAAACCAATAGCAACTTTGATCCAATAATCAAACCGAAAATTTATGTCCCAGCCTGTATCAGATAAAATATCCACAAAAATTCACAACCAAAACTCTAAAATTAATTATTGAAAAAATGCAACAAAATAGTACTAAAATGGAAGACATTATAACTTCTAATACACATAGAAGTAAACAAAAAATAGTAATAACTTGCACACCATTTCAGTCAATGTCTATCTATTTTGAGCTTCTCTACTTTTAAAAATAAATAAATAAATACGGTAAAAATACTAGAAAAATCATAATAAAAATTTGCAAAATCCAGGAATCAAAGTAAAACTATACCAAGTCTGAAACTTTAAACTCATTCTTGAAATTATTTCTAGTTAACTACGAGAACTGACCAGAATTTTGAGGACTAGGGTTTATCCCCTAGACTAGAAGAGAGCAAAGAGTGATGTCGCAGTGAGTTCTGGCTGTGGGCTTCTCTGTTCAAAACTGGGCCAGATTGACTACATCGTTATATAAAATGGGCCTCTGTGGAGAGTCCAGGGTGGAAAATTTGGGCCGACTGCACTAAGGAAGGCCCATAAACATTTTCCAACGGGATAATTAGGGCTGGGCTCCTAAACTATTACTTAGCTCCCATTTGGTGTAAGAATTTTGCTACATATACAGAATTTTTGTACAGATAGATTGACGATGCATGACGCACAGTACATGTTCGCCATGCATTTGTCCCTTAATTTGAATTTCTAAAATTCGAATCAAGGCTGTCAACATGTATGTACAAAATCATACATACAAGTAGAATAATTGTTGGTGTAGATCAAATTAACTTTTTAGTATATTTTGATAAAAAAAAAATGATAAAATGTATGAATAGAATTGTTAATAAAAGTCGCGGATCCCATTATATGTATGGTTAAAAATGAGTTTCAAGAAAATGAGTTTTGAAAAATGGGGACCAAACATGGACTAAGTAAACATTAGCATCTTTCAATCAATTTATTCAAGAAAAAAAAATTCCCATTTAGATCTTCTTTATATAAGTTATGTTTGTCAAGAAATATATTATGTCCAATACCAAAAAAATTTATTTTTTCGTTGATTATCGATTCTATGTAGGGGTAAACATAGTTCCATTTGGTTGTGGTTCTAAGATAACTGAATTGAACCATGAACCAATGATTTTTTTTAATAATAGAACCAATTTTTTTTTAAAAAGATATAGAACCAGACCGTTCAATTTTGGTTTGATTTGGTTCTAGTTTCATTTTTTAAATTTTAGACTTGCATCTGATCCATACGTTAGTAATATATACCTAAATAAATAAATAAATATCAAATATTCAACAAGTTCAACGTATCAATCATCAAGATCACAAAAATCTAAACTAACAAATAAAATACAATCATAATTCGAATACACAAATCAATTTTGATTCTTATACAAAAGATTATTTAATAAGTAATAGCAATGATTCACTAAATTAATTGCATCAGTTTTGACGGCATATCCTCACAATAAATGATGAATTATGCAAAACTTTTACATCCAATTTTACATACAACCGTTAACCGTTTAATACTCCATGAGTGTTTATTGGATTTTTCTCTATTTATTTGTAAAGAACACAAATAATTCATGAAACAATCAAGGTAAAAAAAAATAATTTAAATGCTTTTTAAGTGATTGACTAATTTCATTTTTAGATCTTGAAAGAGTCTCTTCCACTGACGTGATGAAATGCTAAGCCAACGTGCCACGACGTTAGGTAAATTGAAAAGAAGTGAATGAGAAATAATTCAAATGGATACAAAAGTAGGGCGTACGTACACAATTAATGAGCTGGATCAAATGACCCAAAACCGATTAATGTGCTATTTCGTTAAGCATCTTGTACGAGCAACACATTGCATCCGACCTCGTCTAGATATATAACGACAAATCTAACAAAGTGTCAACATTTATAAGCTTTAGTTCATCGTCTCATCGTTTTCTAATTCTCACGAGGCAAAAGCTATGCAATGTAAGAAAACACTGCATTCAAAAGTAAAAACATGCAACAATAATGCCAAACACTTAAAACCTAAACTCCATTATAAAATACATTGGAGACATACATTATTAAGACGCAACACGTACGAGTCTCTGCCTTCGATTATATGCTGTTTTGGGAAAACTATACATGTTGTTGAGAATTTCAGTACCACGCTTTAGAGTACGTGTCGAGCCAAGAAATTGAACCCCACACTGGTGCTTGAGAAAAGGTTCATGTTCTAAAAGAAGACAATTCTGTACTGAAAATAACGGGTGACAGTTTATACTGAAACTCGACAGCTACATTTCCAAGCAGTGTTGGAATAATGTGCCAAAATAATGTGAATACAATGTGCCAAAATAATGTGGAGATGGTGTGCACGAATCTTGCTCTTTTAAGCATTTCGAGTTAGTGTGGACTTTAATTTGTCCCGGAATTTAATGCGATGATTCTTATGATATTTGATGCAAATATATGTAAAGGAACAATTATTTTCCGTCAATTGTTATATAATATGAACCTACGATGTGTTCCATAATTCGTTTAAAAGGTCAATAGATGTTATACAATTTTCGTGGCACAATATTCGTACCGTTACTATATTACTCGTTTTTTATTCATGCACATGCAATTTTAAACGAATGCTAAGCATCGATGCCGCAATATTTTTCACGTAAATTTTGATTGGGAAAGTACTAACATCACTTGTTCTAAAATAATTACATTTAGAGGGTGTTTGACACCCATTTTTTGGAGAATATAATTTTTTGAATAGTGATTGATAGGAGAATGTGTGATGAAAAAAATTGCATTCAAGTCTGATTAGCTATTTCTAGGCATAGTTTAATTCAGTCTACTGGGCTCAAGTCCTAAGAAATGTGACATGAGATGCCTCAATTTAGCCTCTTTTAGTTTTTTTTTTTTTACTTTTATTTTCTAGAACTCATTTTCAACATATATTTCATAAGATTCAAAACCTTTCAACCTCACGTTTTCTCAACTTTTATAAAAATTTACTAAAAATATAATTTTTATCCAAACCAAATAGGAGCTTAATTCCAAACCATCTTTTATAAAAGAATCTAGGATTTATCGCGTTCAAGCACTCAGTTTCCAAGAACACGACTAACAAATCGTTATCGATACGGTTGATCCTCTACCGCGACTTTACAGTCACAGTTGTTTATTGGTATAGTTCTCATATTGTTTCCTCTACTGCAAAAGGTACAAAAGAAAACCAGCCTCATCAATCTGTAAAAAGAATGAAGTTCTTATAACTCAACATTTCTATCTACAAGAGAAGCCGCAGCTCCAGTTGGTACTTGTAGATCACAGATCAAAGACGACCTTCATGCAGCACAAACCTTGATCGCTCTTTCCACTCGTACATGCTACTCGGTAAATTAAATTCCAGATTTCTTACTGCTTTGCCTGTTAAATACGATGAAATGGTAATGAGAATAATGTGCTTATATGCAATCAAATAGAATTCAACACTATCATAGATAAGCTCTAGTAGTATCTGATAGCTGTATTATCCAACACCCAGAATGGATCGTTCAGGACAAGAAAAAATACATGCAAGTGAGAGATCAGTTATAGAACCTCGGATTGGTTGAAACAAGCATCAAGAAAATCATATTATAAGAGAACATAAAATCTTGTCTCAATCTATGGGAATGAATAAACATTACTTAGCCCCTGTTTCGTTTTGATAAAAATTAGATTTTTAGTAGATTTTGATAAAAAATAATGAAAACTGTAGTTAAAATGTTGATAAAAGTTGTAGCTCCCATGACTATAAAATATGTTGTTGAAAATGATTTTGAGAAAATTGAGTTTTAAAAAATGGGGGACCAAACGGGCGTTAGTATCACGATAATGATAATAGATTCCAGTGAATAATAAGGCTAGAAATTTATACTTGAATAATGGAGTTACATAATGGTTAACATACATATGAGACGTCAAAAAAAGAGTTGAGAAATTCTGACCCAATCATATTTATCACATCACGTGTATGTAAACCGTTATGTACATGTAGCACGTCCATTTTTACTTACACGTGTACGGCATAAGAAAAGGAAAACAAGATCCCGAATTGTATCTTTGTTGCCTTTTCTAGAAAGAAGCAACGTGATAACATAGCAATCTAGCAGTTCAAAAAACTAATTTGTTTGGAATATAAAGGTTTTTGAGCATTGAAATAGACAGTTTCTTCACAAGAATCTAAAGGAAAAAAGTCCATGTACAGGAAAAAGAAAAAGAAAAAGAAAAAAGAAGCTAGTAACGTACTTGTGAATACAAGAAAGTTCCAAGAATTGCGATGGCAGCTCCAAGAGCATTGACGGGTTGTACAGGTGTGCCGAAAATGATTATGGAAGAGACAATAACAGAAATACGTTTCATGGTATTTCCAACACTAAACGTCAAAGGAGAAATCTCATCTAGTGACATATACGACACCTGATTGTAGAGGTGATAGAACACGCTCTGGGCTGCCATCCACCTGCCATGTGACACATAAAAGATGAGCAACTGACGATCGATGAGTAAAGAAAAAACAAAAACAACTTAATCTGTGTTCCCTAAAATC